GGCCTCTCCAGTAAGGTCGTTTACCATGTGGAATACACCACAGTTTTGGTGGGGAGATGTACCGTAGCTGCAATCTTCCTTTGGCCACTCAGCCTTCCAACAGTTTGCCACTGACCAAATCTACTCAGAAGCCAAAGGAAAGGGCAAGAAGGCAGGGGATTGGTTTGAAAGCAAACAGACAGTTGACCAGCACAGATGCCATCAAAGAGAGTTTCACTATCCATTAAGTTGTCCCAGGCATCATATTGCCTCTACCTGAGACTCTTTGTGACATCTGAATCTGAGGGTGTCTGGCATATAGCTTTCTGACAACCTTGGGTCTGGCATGCAGACTTGAACTGTCACTCTTACTAGACAGCAGCTCTTGTTCAGAAAGTGTCTGTCCATGACCAATCTGATGATAGTTTGTCTGTCTCATTTGTTTGCCCTATTTTAATCACTGCCTACACAGATCATTGAACAGAACTCACATTTGACCCTGCTCATTATTGAGAAATAAGATTATTTTGAGAGTGGCTTAATGTTTGAAATTAATCACTAAGAATATTGTATTTAAATTTGTAAAATTATGTTTTTAATAATGCAATAAAATATCATCAGTTGAGGAGTCTTTATAAGGCCATTACTCTGGAAATACGAATTATACCCACTATATAAACTAATCAGTTTCTCCTAAAATCATTTTAACTCTAAGCAGTAAGACTAGCATTGGATTACTCTAACATAAAGAACAGAATGGAAACAATAAAGCAGATGGTTTCTCAAGGACATTTTGGCTCCAAGATTTTTTGAGTCCTTGATTATCATCTGATTCAATCTCCAGAAGTGAGGAAATCAAAGATTTTTGCACCCTGTGAGGAGATAAGCTTGACTGTCCAATTAACATATTTATTCTAGATAAACGTAAGCACTCACCTATTGAAAATCCAGACTTTGATATCTACAATGAAAGAAAATATAAAGATTTTGAAGTAGTTGGACAATGTGATTTTTTTGATCTAGATTATAATTAGTCACAGAAATTTAAGATAGAATAAAAAGACACTAACCTAACTTCTGTTCACTTTCAAAGGGAATTTAATAACCAAATG